ACTTTTCAATGTCTACAGTGAAGCGGTATTTCAAGAAGCGCTCTCAGACTCAATAGAAGGTATATCTATCAATGGAGAAGTTTTGAATAACTTCCGTTTTGCAGACGATACAGTAATAATTACGGATAACAACAATGATTTACAGAACCTAATGCAACGCCTTAATGAACGCTGTCATGAGTACGGACTGAAGACAAATTTAAAGAAAACTAAATGCATGATCATGACTAAATCTGCACATGCAAATATCCAATTGACTATTGAAGATACTGCAATTGAGAGTGTTAATAACTATAAATACTTAGGAACATGGATAACATCAGATGTAGACCAAACCAAAGAAATTAAGACACGTATTGAAATAGCACGTACATCATTTATTAAACTTAAAAAGATTCTTTGTTGCCGGGATATAAGGTTAGAACTACGCCTGAGAATGCTTCGATGTTATGTGTTCTCTACTCTTCTTTATGGTCTGGAAGCTTGGACACTAAAACAAGTTCATCTGAATAAGTTGGCCGCCTTTGAATTTTGGTGTTACAGAAGAATCCTACGAATATCATGGATTCAAAGAATGTCAAACATGGAAGCAACTAGAAGGATAGGAAATGAGGCGGAAATAATATTAACTATTAAAAGACGAAAACTTGAGTACTTGGGACATGTGATGAGAGGGCAAAAATACGCATTATTACAACTTATTATGCAGGGCAAAATCCGAGGAAAGCGAAATGTGGGAAGACGAAGAATATCCTGGCTTAAGAACTTAAGGGAATGGTTTGAATGCAGTAGTGCAGAACTTTTAGAGCGGCAGTCAACAGAGTCCGCAAAGCCATGATGATTTCCAACCTTCGATAGAAGATGGAACTTAAAGAAGAAGACAATGAACCCGGTGTCATAACATCCATTAAGATCAGACCTCTGCGCTGGATGGGCCATGTTGATTAATAAGTCTTAATAAGGCAAACACTAGTAGGGAGAAGGTAAAAGGGAAGACCCAAACTTAGATACATGGAACAAGATCTGAAAACACATAAGATTACCAACTGGAAAAACAAAGCAAGGAACAGAACCGAATGGCAAAAAATCTTAGAACAAGCCAGGACCCAGAAAGGATTGTCGAACTAGTGATGATGATGATTTCTCCCTCAAACTTGTATAAATGTATAACTTTAACTTATAAGAATCTACCTTAACTCGGGTTCAGATTGCTAAACAGATTGTAAAAAAACGTATACTTACCAAAACTGTGGTACCGTTATCTAATGTGATATTTTTTAATTGTGTCATATCCACTATAGCAATACTTAAATTCGATCTTAGGGCATATACGTTCATGAAGCCAAAAAATCCAAGAATTGCTAGCACATATCTTTTGTAACGCCATATTTTCCATGAAAGATTCGTATTTCTGAAAATAACAAATATTATTAGGTGATAATAAAAATTTCTTTAATATGTATTTTATCTTACATAGTTTGCATTGGTTGTGTTTTCCCCAGCTTTAGCAAATACTAAATAGTCGTAAATAGCTGTTAAATTCTTGTTAATTTGTCACATAATGAGAAAACAAAGTATGTAATTAAATCATGAAGTTAATGATGTGTATTAGTCTAGTAAATATTGAACAAAATTTAAAATAAGTTTGGAATTGTTTCTTTATTATGTAATTATTTAGTTAGTTAAGGTTTGCAACAAAAAAACCCGACTGCAAAACGTGATAACACAGTGGCGAATTATGATATTGTCAAAAATGGGTATACAATAGAAATTAAAAAAAAAATAGGCGCGGATACTTTGATCTTATATATTTATATATCTACTATTTCTGGGGTGCCAAGAAATTGACCAAAATATATCAAAACAGTTTCATAAATTAATTAATAATAAAAAAACACTTAACTTACCACCAGTATTTATTAGTGATGTACTTGAAATTTGTTATTATGTTTTAGTCTCTAAAGTTCATTTATAAAATTATAAAAATAACACTATTCCAGTATTTACACAGCACAAAGTTGTTTAATATCACGTTTAAAGTATCCGATATATCAAGTCCATCCTTCTTTCTTTTTTGGTTGGTAATTAAAGTTTTTAATCACTTTATTATTAAAATTACCAATTCCATTTACAAAATGTTTTTCTGAAGATAGCATACCTAAAGCACAAAGTTGTGTTTCCTTCATGGTATTTCTAAGGAATATTTTAATTCGTTTTATCTTTGAAAAACAACGTTCTGCTTCAGATGTTGACATAGGAATAGTAATTAATATACTTAAAAGTTAAATAGTTTCTTTATAAGTTCATTTTAAACCTTCATCATTTAATAAAACTGATAACGGAACAGCCCCAGAGATAGTACGTAATCCGTCTCGCTGATACAGTAGTTGTAATTCAGTTTTAAGCCGAGTTTGGTTTAAAAATAAAAATTGTCTGCATGCTTTATTAAGAAATGATTCAGCGAACAGATGCTAATAAGCAGAAAACTTCTCCGATATAAATAAATCCGAAGCAACTAAATGTCCGAGTAAGGTAAACCTTGTTTTTATTATTTTGTAAGAAAATTGCATCACATATCTCTAAGGCTTCCCGTTTTCTGCTGGACCTGTTCTCTTTAATTCGCGCATTCTCCATTGTTTAGGCCTCCCTTACTCATGGCGTCGTCTACTTCGTTTCTCCAGGATCTTCGGGGTCGTCCTCTTTTCCTCCTTCCTATGGGGCTCCATTCGGTTATTCTCTTTATCCATCTAGTTGTTCTTACATGTCCATACCACTTTAGTCTTTTTTGTTCTATATATGTTAGTATGTCTCTTTCTATTGATGTTATTTGCTTTACTTCGTCATTGCTTCTCGTATCTATTCTTGTTACTCTGCAGCATCTTCGCAGGCACTCCATCTCTGTTGCTATTATCTTACTGCTGTTTTTCTTGTTTATAATTCAATTTTCAGCCCTATATGTCGTTATTCTTCGCACTAATGTTTTATAAATCTGTGTTTTTGTCTTCATATTTAGGTGTCTATTCCATCATTTATTGGTTCATCATTATCATTATCCGTTTGTCTCTGGGACGTGTTTATTTTTCTTGAATGTTATCAATAATGACGTCCATCTGCTCACTTATGCATTGAATTCTTCAATGTTCTCCACATATTTTTTCATTTTAACAGAATCAGTGTATAATTTATAACTATTTGCTTGATTAATGGATGACAAATCACGTGAAGTACTTTGTATAATGTCCATTACTGCGATGAGGTCTTTTATATTTTCATAAACAGTATGAACATCCTGTAATTGAAAATTTAAGTGTGTTTGGGAAAATTTTGGCAACTTACGATTAACCACCTTATCCAAAACTTTTGTTTTTTGGGGAGACGTAGAAAAGAATGAGCACAAACCAGATAAATTAGAAAAAAATATCCTACCCCGCGTATTGATAGAACATGCACTTGTCATAATTAAATTCATTTGGGTATTCTACTAAATGGTTACCGGCCAAACAACATCAGATATGCAGATGACACCATATTATTTGCGGACAACTTAGAAGACCTACAAGTTCGTATGAACAAAATCACGTATTACAGTCAACAATATGGACTCAATATAAACGTTAAGAAGACAAAGCTTATGATAATTAGCAAGAAACAACTCTACGTCAACCAATCCCCTGTAGAAAGAGTGACGCACTACAACTATCTCGGCACCATAATAAATGAAGAATGGACCAACAACCAGGAAATTAGAAAATGCATCAGAAGAGCTAGATCTACCTTTAATCGGATGGGGGTCTTCTTTAAGAGTCACAACCTCTCTTTTGATACAAAAATAAGAAAGCTGCGATACTACGTCTTCTCTGTGCTTGTTTAAGGTGTTGAATCGTGGACCTTGAACAAAGATATGCAGAAAACTGGAGGCATTTGAGATATGATTATATTGGAGAATACTTAAGATCCCGTGGACTGACCAAGTCATAAATGAGATGTTCCTCAGATGAATGAATAAGAACCGAGAGGTACTGACCATCATCAAATCTCTAAAGTTACAATTCGTCAAACATATTATGTGAAATGAATCCAGATATGCAATCCTTCAAGCCATCCTACAAGAAAAAATATTTGGAAAACAAGGTCCATGAAGAAGAAAAACATATTGGTTAAAGAACCTTAGAATCTGGTTCAACGCAACATATATGCAGCTTTTCCGCGCTGCTGCAGATAAAATAAAGATTACCATAATGATCGCCAACATTCGTAACGGATAGCCACATCAAAAAGAAAAAGAAAAACTAAATGAAATTTATCCGCAACGTCTGTCGTTTCATTGACAATCACTGCAACATAAGGAGAATTTTCAATTTCTTACTTAATTTCCTCGTGATAAACATCCAACATGCACGCAGGAGTTCATTTTGGGTTGTTTTTGAGGTAGCTTTAAAAGATGTGGAACTTTAAATATGAAGATAATAGTTGTCCAATTCGGCGCTAAAATTGACCAGATCCTTAAATATGCCCCCGTTTTCTGATTTTTTTTTTGTTTTGTCCTGACCTCTAAGAGCTAACTCAAAAGCTCCACATAACCTTATATAATTTAGGATTTCATTCGTGACATATCGATTCTTATCCATCAGTTCGTCCATTTTAAATCTGCCAAAATAGCTGCGGAGGGTTTTGTGTACTCCTAAGTGACTATGCCCGCAGTCCAGCTAGGTCCGCAAATTTAGTATCAGTGACTTCGTTTACTGTGCCACATCCCCCGTTGCATCCCACTCGTCCTGAGACATCACAATTGAATGTAGCCCTCTCCTCGCTTCTGATATTATCCCTTGTATATATCATTATTAGCTGAAACATCGTCTCTCCCCCAAACAGACACTCATACCAACACGTGCAAGGGGACACAGCCGGTGTAGCATCGTTTATCGGTATTTTTCCACAATCAATAAAATCGAGAAACGTTTATTAGTAAGGGGACGAAATTATACTAGATAAAAGTAATAGACAAATTTTATTATTTATGTTATAAATAAAATAACACTGTAATTTCTAATCAGATTCAGTAGGCTCAAAAGATTGATTATGGTTGCCATTCACTATCACTTCTTCCTTGTCAGCCCATGATTGTCTTACACCAGAGGTGAATATAAAAGATGTAATTATCCCAAATAGGTATATGCCAGATGCTATATAAAACACTATCCTCCATTGCAAAATGTTCGTCTAAAACAAAGAATAGAACATTATTAGTTCTCTCAATTAACTAACCACCCAACACACCCGCCTTCCCTTTTACTACGGGTAATTGTTTTATGAACATATAATGAATTTTTTTCATTATCCGTCTAACCATAGCCTGAGTAATACTCTGAATAAATTTTTTAATGGATCTTTAGAATTAAGCAACATCTGTAAATGACCTTTGAAGATACATACTTTCCTGTAGGAATCCCACAACAAAAAATCAAGTGGCGTCAAATCTGCAGATCTCCAGGTCTTCAGGGAGGAAAGTTTGAACACTTGATTAGGTAAACATTAATTAAGCAATCTAGTAAACTTTTTATTATTATCTTCAAATTTAATTGTGCATAGTTTGAATCAAAAAATTTATTAAGATGATTAGACGTTTTTAGGCTTTGATTTTATCTTTTTTAGATGTTTCTGACTATAGCTAAAATCGAAAGCACTGTGTACGGTTGAAATGGTATTAAGGTGGAAATTTTAATAAAGGTACAATATAGAGTAAGTTGTATTTAAAAAACTGAAATGATTAATGATAAAATGGTAAATCTGGTAACGTTACAAACATCAAATTTCAAATTTTTATATTGCAAAATAGCCTCCACAATATTTTTACAATTTTGGTCCACTGGTATATAAAAATATTAATAATAACTCTCATCGCATCACTTTTGTCATAAGCAATACATTTGACATATTTAATTATACACCGTTAAACATTATTTATATATTATTTAATTATAGAACTATCTCTCTTATATCCCATGCCAGCAAGATAATGCTACATATAATCAATAAGGGACTGAAAACATTCCTCCAAAGAGAAATTCCACAAGAGCAAACTGGATTTACCAAAGGTAGAGGCACTCGAGAACACCTGCTGAATATAAGACAGATAATCGAGAAATCTAGGGAATTCAACATCCCACTATACATCTGTTTTATAGATTACCGTAAAGCGTTCGACAGGGTCAAGTGGAGACACTTATGGCGAATACTAAAAGAAGTAGGCGTACCACGACATCTTATTACGCTTATAACTGAACTATATGAACACACTACTGGATCAGTTAAAGTATTTGACACACTTTCGAACGAGTTTTATCCAGAACGGGGTGTCAGACAAGGATGCATACTATCTCCACAACTATTCAACATATATGGGGAGTATATTATGCGAAGACCACTTGAAGGATGGGAAAAGGGCATCTCAATAAATGGTCGTAAACTAAACAACCTACCTTTCGCAGATGACATAGCCCTTCTTGCAAATAGTCAAGCAGTGCTGATGGAACTTATACGACTGATCGAAAACGAAAGTTAAATATTTGGTCTGCAATTAAACATATCAAAGACAAAGATCATGATAGTGGATAGACTACACAACAATCATCCACACATAACCACAATTGACCGGTTCGAGATTGTGAGCTCATACTTATATCTGGGATCATTAATCACAAACACAGGGTCATTACAAGAAGAGATTAAACGTAGATGTGATATAGCAAAAGTTGCCACAGCAAAAATGACCAAAATATGGAAGGACTGTCAAATTTCAAGAGCGATAAAGATGAGGTTGATCAACTGCTTAATATTCCCAATACTGACTTACGGATGTGAATCTTGGACTCTGAGACAATCAGAGAGAAAAAAGATAGATGCCACTGAAATGTTCTGTTGGAGACGAATGTTACGAATTCCTTGGACTGACCGTAGAACAAATAATTCAATTTTAAGAGAGTTAAAAGTTAGCCAACGACACTCTAGTAAAGTCCATCTCCAACAATTAAAATATTTTGGGCATGTTATGAGAGCAAACACAGAAAACATGGAAAGACTCATAATACAAAGAAAGGTAGAAGGCCGAAGATCACGAGGAAGATCCCCAACAAGATGGATAGATCAAATTACAGGAATATGCCAAAGACCTATGCATGAATTAAAAGAAATGACCAGAGACAGAGATCTCTGGAGACGGACAATACACAACATCACGTCGACCACTACACTCCCCCTGGGGGGTCAGGATTGAAGAGAGAGAGAAACATTATTTAATATAATGATTAAACTTTTGACCATGAAGCCCCCTAAAAGGAGAAACGATGAAGACGCAAGGCCCTCAGTCTCCGGCAGTCCCTTGAAACTAGGCTATGGTAGCAGTCACGGAGGTCGAGGGACAGAGGGTGCTAAGAATATACGGAGTGGACCAGGCTACCTATACAAACAACAACGGCAAAGAATATGGTTTACCGCAACATATAACATGAGAACATTGATGGAGGATGTAAAACTTAAGGAACTTGAAAACGAGCTAAAGCATATAAAATGGGATATACTTGGATTATCTGAAGTATGGCAAAAAGGCGAAGAACAAAAAATGGTACTTCTTCTAATCCTCTAATGGTGATGTCGAATTTATGATAAATAAAAAACACACGAAGAATATACTTACAATTAAAAGCATAAGTGATATTGAGTGATATATGATTAAAAGCATAGTGAGTTATTTATCTTATCTACAAAATAAACGAAACAATTCGATTAAAGATCATCCAGGTATACGCACTTACCAGGACCCACACAGATGAAGAAGTTGAATGGTTCTACGATGACGTTAACACTGCGCTAGAAGAGGTAACCACCAACTATACCATACTGATGAGAGACCTAAACGCAAAAATAGGCCACAAGCAGGATGATTCGAAGTTTGTACTTAGACCGCAAGGGATATGGCGACAGAAATGAAAGGGGTCAAACTCTTATAGAATTTCTTTTGCAACACAGACTATGTCATAACCATCCATTTAAAAAAAGCCTCCAAAGAAAGTGGACCCGGCAATCACCAAATGGCTTCAACAAGAACGAAATTGACTTTATCTTTACTAACAAAAAAGTCGCTTTTTAAGACGTATCTGTATTAAATCAATTTTCAACCGAAAGTGACCATAGAATGGTTAGAGCGAAGGTAGTCTTAAACGTAAAGAAGAAACGAAGAAATATGGTAACAAGGGCTAAAAATGTTACGTTCACTGCGATTACTAACACAAGGGCATACCAGGAAGAAATAAATAGAATCCTTCCGAATGATGTGCAAGACGAAACCGATATTGAACAACATAACGAAAGGTTGGTGGATGCTTTAAAGAAGGCACAGAAGAACTGTCAAGTGAAACAAACAAGAAAAAATGAAAAACTAACAGAAGACACAAGGAACCTAATGCAAAATAGAAGGTAAATGAAAGATAAGCAAAGTTCAAAAACGAAAATTGAAGACACGAACAAGGATATGCTGTATATGAACAACAAGAAATAATAAAAATTATCGAAGAATACTATAGAACATGATGTCGTGGAGATGCCCACATTCCAGAGGTGGAAATCCCAGCCATACAAAATTAAGGATCAGAGGAACTTCCAGATATAACCGAAGGGGAAATCGAATCAGCGTTGAAAGATATGAAGAACAGAAAATCACTTGAAGAAGATGACATTGTAAGTGAAAGCTAAAATTAATAGGCGAATGCGTCATAAAAGCTTTAAAAACCTTTTATAATACCTGCCTCTTTGAAGGAGTTACACCAGAAAAATGGAATAGTACCATTAGGATAATATTGCATAAAAAAAGGAGATGTAATAGAAATTAGAAACTACAGACCTATCAGCTTGTTCTCTTATTTATATAAGCTCTTTATGAGAATAATTACTAATAGACAGGCACCTATGCTGGATTTTCACCAACCATTAAAGCAGGCCTGGTTTAGGAGTGCCTTTGGAACGAATGACCACCTACAAGTAATAAAATCCTTAATAAAGTAAGTTACCAACTCTCCTAAGCTATTCACCGCTTTGTTGCAGAGTACTATAAAAAACAATAATTGGAAGAATATTGAAGTCAACATAAATGGAGAATTTCTGAACAACTTGAGATTTGCAGACGACATAGTCCTTATTGCAGACCGGGTAAATCATGCCTGCCATCGTCTTTAAGACCTTCAGAGCTCATGTACATGAGTTGAACTTAAAAATAGTTTTTCCTTCTTCTTCTTCTTAAAGTCCCCTCTTCTCAATGGAGGCTACTACAATTTTAAACTCTTCTCTATCTTCAGCTGTTCTTATTAGCTGTTCAAAATTTAGCTCTGTCCATTGTCGGATGTTTCTTAGCCACGATAGTCTTTTCCTTCCTAGGCCTCTCTTTTCCTCGATTTTTTCTTTCACTATAAGTTGGGCATATTGGTAGTTATCATTTCTCAGTATGTGGCCTAGGTATAATGTTTTTCTGACTTTTACTGTGATGAAAAGTTCTCTTTCCTTGCCTATTCTATGCAGCACTACTTCGTTTGAGGTATGCGATGTCCATGAAATTTTGAGTATTCTCCGGTAGATCCACATTTCAAAGGCCTCCAATTTATTTACGGTTGATGTTTTAAGGGCCACGTTTCAACTGCATATAGAAGAGTCGACCAGACGTAGCGTTTTGATAAAAGTTGTCGAATTTCGAGTTTAATTCGAGAATCACAAAGCAGTTTTTTTATTTTTTCAAAAGATTTTCTGGCCTGTTCTATTCTCGATCTTATTTCTTGATCAGGATTCAGGCTGCTATCGATCCAACATCCCAGGTACTTAAATCTATTGACCTGTTCTAAGATGTGCCCATTTATTGTGCAAGGTTGAGGTGCGTTTTGGTTTTTTCGGATTGACATCACTTTTGGTTTTTTTAATGTTTATTTTCATACCAAATTTCTCACAGGTCGAATTTTTCTTGTCGATGAGTCGTTGTAGAACTGAGTCGGAATCCGCAATTAGCCCTGTATCATCGGCGTATCTGATACTGTTGATATTTACGCCATTCACCTTGACTCCATCCTTGGAATCCTCCAATGCTTCTTTAAATAGAAACTCGGAGTAAAGATTAAACAGCAGAGGCGACAGAACATATCCTTGTCTAACTCCCCTCCTAATTTCTACTTCTGCGGATGTGGAACCTTTGATCCTAACTCTGGCGTTTTGGTTCCAGTACAAGTTTTTTAAGAATTTGATGTCTTTTCCATCTAAACCAACTTCTTGCAAACGTTCTAATAGTAGGTCGTGTCTTACTTTATCAAATGCTTTTTTGAAGTCTATAAGGCATATAAATATATCTTTTTGTTGGTCGTAGCATTTTGGGCGAGAACTAGTAAACTGAACAGGACTTCTCTCGTTCCCATGCCGGCTCTGAATCCAAACTGATCGTCTCCGATGATTGTTTCGCACTTTCTATAGATACGATTATGTACGATTTTTAGTAGGACTTTTACTGCATGACTCATAAGGCTTATCAGACGGAACTCATTGCAGTGTTGTGGGTTTGGCTTTTTTGGTAATGGGATGAATATTGACTCCAGCCAATCTTGGGGTATTTTACCTATATCATAAATGCGATTGAATAAAAGGACAAATAATTCGATATTTTCTTCGCTGATTAATTTGAACGTTTCTGGGTATATTCCGTCTGGACCTGGGCTTTTATGATTTCAGATTTCAGAATTGTTGGCCCTTCGTTGTTATTTTCCAATCTTGGTTCTTCTCGTATGTCGTGAAAAAGAATTTTAATATAGTTTTCCCATTCTTTCAGTTTATCTTCCGTTGATTCTAGCAGTTTGTCATCCGTGTTCAGCATGGTGTGAAAAGTCGTTTTCTTGGTAGTCGATGTAAACTCTTTTACCTTTTTATGTAAATTAAAAAAATCGTGCCTTTGTTGCAGTTCTTCTATTTCAACGCATTTTGTTCCCAGCCATTTTTCTTTTGTTTCGGTTATTTTTTTTTCGAATTATTCTATTTAGTCTTTTGTATTCTCCGTTCTTGTCATTTTTTCCTTTAGATTCTCTTCGTTTGTTCATTAATTGTAAAATCTCTTCTGTCATCCATTCCTGTTTGTTATTTCTAGGTGTTACTTTTAGATGTTTTTCCGTTACATTGTTCATTTGTTCTTTAATAGTTTTCCACAGAACGTTTATGTCATCGTACTCGCTAATTCTATTGTGGTCGATATTTCCTAAATTTTTGTTTAATTCTTTATTTACTGTCTGATGTATGGTGTCGTTTTTCAATAATTGGATGTCTAATAGTTGGTGTTGAGGTTTTTGTTTCTTTATTAGTTTCCATCTTGCGCGAACTTTTGCAACAACAGGATTATGATCGAAATTGATGTCAGTTCCAGGATATGTTTTTGCACTGATGATTGCATTGTGATATCTTTTGTTGACCAATATGTAATATATTTGGTTACGGATTACTCTGTTTTTATTGTGTTGTGGTGAAATCCAAGTATACAATCTGCGAGGGTGTAATTTAAACCATGTATTTGTCACTACCATGTTGTGTTGTTGGCAGAATTCGGTCATTCTCTCTCCCCTGTCGTTTCTTGCTCCAAGTCCGAAGTCTCCGATCAATCCAGAAACTTTTCCTCTACCTAACTTAGCATTAAAGTCACCTAAGATAAATGTTAGGTCTCGTTTTTTGGTCATCTTTATAAGTTTTTCTACGTCAGCATACCACGCTTCTAGCTCTTCTATGGGTTTATCGGCCGTAGGGGCATAAGTTTGAATGATGTTAATATTTACTGGCTTTCCGGATAGTTGAATAAGAAGACATCGGTCCGAAAATGGCACAAAATTTGTGACGGCATTGTTATATTTGTCTTCTAAAATTACTCCAACCCCGTTACGATGAACCAGATCGTTATTACCCAAGTAATAGAAAGTTTTGTTTATGGTTTTAACTTTACCTGAACCTGGCCATCTAACTTCACTCAAACCCAATATTTGCAATTCTAAACGTTTCATTTCGTGGCATGCATTTGCTAGTTTTCTGTTTCGAACAGACTTCTAACGTTCCATGTTGCAATCTTAAAGTTTGTATTTAAAATATTTAGGCTATTCCTCCCGGGGAGTTACATTTTCCAAGACACAAAAAATGACCAAATTTGTACTAGTGAAAAACATCTCAACAAACGGCACGCAAATTGAACAGGTATGTAGCTATAAATATCTGGGCCACGAGATTAAATTATGAGGTGATAATCTAAGAATGGAGCTAAACAGGAGAATAGGACTGGCATGGGCGGCTTATAAAAAACTGAGAGAAGTCTTTAGATCAGATATTCCCATATGCTTGAAAAGGAAGGTCTTTGATCAATGTGTACTTCCAGTTCTAACGTATGGAGCAAAAACATTGACCCTTACCAGAAAAGTAATTAATAAAATGGAAGTGGCAGAGAGAGCGATGAAGAGGTCAATGCTGAATATATCCCTTAGAAACAAAGTATCAAATACAATAGTTATGAGAAAAACTGGTGTTACTGACGCAGTTCAAAGGATTACAATATTGAAATGGAACTGATTGGAGCAAATTGCCAGATTAAAAGATGAAAGGTATACGAAGAATTCTGAAATGGAGACCCAGACACGATGCTTATTGTAATCGAGGACGTCCACCAAAAAGGTGGTCAGATGGCATCAAGCGCATTCAGCACAACTGGATTCAGTGTGCTCAAGATAGACTGCATTGCAAAACGGCTGATGATGATGACGATGATTAAACTTTTAAATATTTGTGATTCATGACCATTTATAACAAAATCTACTATACATAAAAATAATAAATTAATACCTACTGAGTCTGTTACTATGTATCCCGTTAAAATGGGGGATATTATTCCTGGTAAAGTAGAAACCGTAGTGGCTATTCCGTAGATAACACTGGCAAATTTAGGGGCAATATCAATGGGGACTACCCTAAAAATATTTGTTAAAAAATCAATCCAAATTAATACTCCAATTAACCCTGCAAATTAGATTAGATTAGCTATACACATCGTCATTATTCTTGCCCCTACCTTTTATGTAACAAGTGTTGGGAAATTTGAAGGTTGAATTAAACATTTTATTGGTAATACCATAAGATTAAAAGTTATTAAAAAAATAAATATAAAGATTTATTTAACAAATTAAAATGTTTAGAAAAATTTAAACACTAAAACAACTGATAGATAGTACAAATTAACTAGTATAGACCTGTCAAATCCTCAAGCAAATAATTCTTCTTCTTAGAGTACCGTTAAGGCACAGATTAAAGCAAAAATCTGAATTTGGTTTCGAAAATTAGTTTACGGATTTTAATACAAGATGTCGCTATTTGCGTCTATACGAAGCCATGTTAGAGTTGCTTCCTAAGACAGAAAAGATTTATTTTCACGTTCATAACGACTGTGAATAGCTGTTCTGACGAGTCCTATTAGGGTAAAATACGTATAAGCAGATATACAGACGCACTATACGTGAAATCAAATATTGACTGTCTTTTTCGATTGAATTAATTCTTTATACATATATCATGTATTATATTACTTACCCCATTCCACTTATAGCCAATCCACCCAATCCCACGGCGACGACAAGACAAACTGATGTGCCGATAGTTGATACCCAGTATCCAGCCAGAAGTAAAAATATGGCTTGTGCGGAGAAACCAGTTATTATTAACAATTTTCTTACTTGAGTAGTGGTTATATACTTCCGTTTCAGTAAGAAATCTGCTAAGTAACCACCTACTTGCACCATTAAACACGTAACTAAGTAGGGAAGTGCCGCCAAAAAGCCTACTTGATTTAGATCAAAGCCTAAGAGTGCTAAAAAAATAAATTAGGTAAAATGAATCTAATACTACATGTTTCTGCTGCATTAGTTAATATATTATGTATATATATATATATATATATATATATATATATATATATATATATATATATATATATCAGTTTTGATGTTTTCAATGAGTGTTTAAAAGAAAATATATGAGTATAGGGTTTTTAGCGCGGTTCTCAAAGAATTAGTTTGTAAGTACTTTTTTAAATTATCTTTATTATATCTATTATGAAACAGACATATATATCTAATATAAACAATATAAATTTAAAACAACCTATCTAAAATTTTAAATTCTTACAATTATTAAATTATAATAACAAAATTTGGTACCTTTCTATCACTGAATGCCTAAAGTTTTCTAAAATCAAATTTATAATCACCACTAAATATCTTCTTAATCAGCCTCGGTTATCCTTATATTTGGGAGATTGCATATAGATATTATAATTTAAAATTCTTGTAATTTCCATATAATATACCAACTCCAACTGTATCTGACTTAATGAATGCTTCCAAGATAATCCTTTCTTCTTATTTAATTTAATTATAACTGTCTTGAACTAACTTTCTTGATAAATCTAATTTAATGACTTAATTGTACCTGACTGACTGACTTCTCACTTAATCCTTTTTCTAACTTAATTTAACTTAATCGCTTCATGAATTCTTCTTACTTAATCAATTGTAACTGACTGACTGACTTAATGTAACTTAATTCTTAAATTCTTCTAACTAATTCACTTAATAATTGACTGTAACTGAATAATTGACTGTAACTTAATGACTTCCTGTAACTTAATGATCTTCTAACTTTACTAACTTCACGAATCAACTGTAACTTACTTAATAATCCCATGTAACTGACTTAATAATCCCCCTGTAACTGACTTACATCGTTTATATATTTTTTTATGATTCGAGAATCATCGGGAAAGAAATCATGTTCTAAACTTTTCATCTCATCCATATATGAAAGTTCTGGAATCCTCTACTATACAAATAGGATTAACTGTCTTGTGTATTGACGTTTTCCAAAAAATTCTAATGAGAATTTTATGGACATTTATGCTTTCAGATCAGAATTCATTATTATATATATATATATATATATATATATATAATATATATATACTAAATATCTTAAACTACTATATTATCACCATCGAGCAAAAAGTCAATAGAGGGAATGTAAAGGTAGTGGGGGCAAACATATTGTTAGACAGGAAGTGCGATCTTTAGAGGCCACATTAAACAGGAAAGAGAGTCTCTCTCCTTGTTTGACATCAAATTTAGTTGGGTTATGTTATTGTTTGTCCCAAATGTCACATGAAATCTTATTTATATTGAAGTTTTTTAACAATTGTGTCGCATTTTAGACTCTTATCATTAATAATTAATTCAAACTTTCTCGTCTAAGACACATTCTGAAAAATATTATATAGCTACTGTTGATAAGTGTCGGAAAATTTAAATTTCGCGCATTCGCATTTCCGGATATGTCCGCCATCAGAGGCCACTTTTTTGGTCTCCTTTTCATAAGGATTAGATTCCCTCTTTTGTCTTATTGCTCGATGATTATCACTATTTTACATCCGTAATAATATTTAAATTAAAATTCCAAATAATAAATAACCCCACTTCCCATCTAAATGTCAAAGAACACAGTGTATGTTTGGTTGCCTATGCACAAGGCTCACTTAAATATATTTATTTATAGAATAGAATATAATAAAAAACTTTTAAAATTCAATTCTATGCTAAATTTTCAAAAATATCCTCATATAATTATTTTTTAATAATATTCGCTAATATAAAACTTATAAATTATTTCTTTAACCACTTTTTAAGTAAGTTTATTAATTAAATATCATAATATTACTATGCTAATGTCTTGTATATCTAATTATTATTCCAATATATACATATATATATATATATATATATATATATATATATATATATATATATATAAGAAAGGAGATAGAAATTGATGCAAAAACTACAGAGGGATAAGCGTAATATCATCAATAGGAAGATTATAACATTATGGGAAGGTATTGCGTGAAAAGGGGCTTCACGGCAGGAAGATAAGCATAGACCACATATACACACTGTAACAACTGTTAAAAACAAAATCATAAAATAGAAATATACATTTGGCACTTGTGGACCTGAGAAAGGCGTATGATTTTGTACCAAGGTGAGAACTATGACAGGCAGTATACAAATTAGAAATAAGATGAAACTTATAGAAGCTACAAAAGCTCTATATAAAAAAATAAAGTGTCCATTAAAATGTGAACAAGAATCGTAGGAGACTTTACCACAACAAAAGTGCTCCTGCAAGTTTGTTCCACATCTCTAGCCCTGTTTAAAATATACCTAGAGAAAGCCTTGCCTACATGGAAAAGAAAATGCGGAGGCATGAGAGTACCGGTACGAAACGAATACCTATATACGTTAAGCTTTGGAGACGATCAAGTAGTGATTGCACAAGACCAAGAAGATCTCAGTTTTATGGTAACGTTTCAATCAACTAATTGAACGTGACACCAAGCTTTGCTTGGTACTTGTCCCCCGTACTATATTGTTCTAAAGCGACCTCAGTAAATTATAAATATTTTTAGTAGCCGTTCCACTCTATATAAGTAATACAAATTTTTATTCGCTCTTTTTAATCTTATCATTACAATCATTCTGAATGAATTTATAGTCACACAAATTAGTGTTAGTGTCTTGGTCGTATACACGGGTAAGTATCTCTTTTTAAAATCATGAATGTGTTGCTTGTGTGAGTCCATTTCAAATAGGTAAAGAAATAATAAATAAGACGTACTCACAATCAATTCAATTTAACTATCAGACGACCGGTTTCGCTTTCTACAATATGCAAAGCATCCTCAGGCCTCGATACAAAGTTAAATAAATGATGCCGGTACTCTATTAATTGATGGATGGTAGAACATGGTTGAAACTACTATGTATTGTTGAATGGAGAACTCAATTCTGCTATTGTAGTTGTTTGACAGTAAACGGGAAGTTCTTGAGGAGATAGATTTGATCCAATGAAGCAGATTTAGCAAAATTTAATGTTTGTTTCGTCCCTTCTAAGTGTTTTCTGTTTTAGTGTATTTTAAATTGTCCTTAATTGTTTTAATTCTAATATTTTATTTACTTGACTTTACAATAATCTACTATTTTGCCAATGGATCTTTATCAAAGTAATTTGATAACTACAAGTTGAAAAATAATTGCACACCCACACAATTTGTACATCTAAACTTATTCATTGTCATAAAACTGTCACCTTCATAAAACAATTACTTAATAAATAACACACATTTCATAAATATATCTCTCGAATAAGTATAAATAACTTTTAATAATACAATGGTATATTACATCACTTTCATTTAACAAACAATCACACACATATCTCATTTAACAAACAATCACACACATATCTCTGCTTCATTGGATCAAATCTATCTCCTCAAGAACTTCCCGTTTACTGTCAAACAACTACAATAGCAGAATTGAGTTCTCCTTTCAACAATACATAGTAGTTTCAACCATGTTCTACCATCCATCAATTAATAGAGTACCGGCATCATTTGTTTAACTTTGTATCGAGACCTGAGGATGCTTTGCATATTGTAGAAAGCGAAACCGGTGGTCTGATAGTTAAATTAAATTGATTGTGAGTAAGTCTTATTTATTATTTCTTTACCTATCTTTTTTTAGTTTTAGGCCTCTGTTTTTTACTTGTTTTCTTTTGCATAGCAGATACTTATTTTCTTAGAATGAAGCTGAAAACATTTTAACTTTATCTTTTTTACTGTGTATATGTACCTATATTACCTTATTTCCTTTAATTTTTTATTAATAAAAATCTTTTGATACAAACTTATTTTTATTAATGTCACGCTGTGATAAGAGATTTTGGTGAGATCGATTCTCTCTGAATACTCAGCTTTATTTCTGATCAGGCTTTTCTTTTGAAAGAAAACTGACCTTTGTATAAATTTTCTAGCCACTACCGTGGGAAGCAACAAGATAGACAACCACACTACCGAGGGAAGCAAAAAATAGACAACCACACTGCCGTGGAGAGCAAAAAATCAGTTAAACACAATACCTTAGGCAACAATCAGCAAGCACTTATAAATCCACTGATGTATCAGAACATAATTTTGTGACCCATTTACCAACATGGGGACGAAAATAATTGCCATTATCTAGATCAACAACTCCCCTTAACTCAACCAACAACCACCGACAGCGGCTAACTTCCACAAAGATTTAAACCCTTTCTGGAGAACTGAACGACTCATTTAGAATGAACTAAAGCTGAGTACTTTTTTTATACTTTAGTTATTTTATACCGGCAACCGGCAGAATCTTTGAGTCTCAGTTTAAAAATTTATTTTTGTTTCACATTCATAATTTGAATTCTGTTTATTTTCATTTGCGCAGAGATATGGCAGAGCACCATTCTGATGGATAGAACGGTGGGCGTTTTTCTCTTGAATATCCTTAGGGATATTCACGAGAATTTTTCTTCTCTCTCCCCTCGTTTCTTTTGGCAGTATGGTATTTCTTAACGCCCTAGTCTTAATTAAATTAATATGTTACTGTTACATAATGAAGAAACTACAAGAAGAATATACCAAGGCTGGACTAGATATTTCTTCTTCTTTCAGTGCCTATTCGTTCCGAATATTATCAGTCATTCTGGCTATAATTATTTTATTAACTGATGCTTTAAATAGGTTCGTTGTTGTTGTGGAGAACCATTTCCTCAGGTTCTTCAACCATGATATTCTCCTTCTCCCAATTCCTCGCTTTCCGAATACTTTACCCTGTAGGATTACCTTTAGTAATCTGTATTTAGTGCTGTTTCTCATTATATGTCCGAGATATTCCAACTTTCTCCTTTTAATGGTATACATCACCTCTCTTTCTTTGCCCACTCTTCGTAATACGGTCTCGTTGGTTATCTTGTCTGTCCATGATATCCTTAGAATTCGCCTGTATAGCCACATCTCGAAGGCTTCAAGTTTTTTCTTCATTGCTTCAGTTAGTGTCCAATGGAGAAAAAACTTGAAGCCTTCGAGATGTGGCTATACAGGCGAATTCTAAGGATATAATGGACAGACAAGATAACCAACAAGAACGTATTACGAAAAGTGGGCAAAGAAAGAGAGGTGATGTATACCATCACCTCTCTTTCTACTAGATATTACCTAGACCTAGGACTAGATATTAACCTCCAGAAAACAAAGAACCTACCTACAAGTGAAAAAGACATAGAAGATCTACAGATTGGCGACAACTTTGCAATCAAAGGAATGTATATATTCAAATACTTGGGGTTTATAATCACGAAAAGGCAACAACAAAGGAAAAAATAAAGCAAATATTAGGAGAAATGAGAACAGCAATCCGGCAACTTAACTCAGTATGGTGGGATAGACATTTAAATTTGAAGACAAAAATACAGATTTATAAAACATTAGTGTAAAGTATTATGACCTATGAGGCTGAAAATTGGATTATAAACAAGAAAAACAGCAGTAAGATAATAGCAACAGAGATGGAATGCCTGCAAAGATCCTGCAGAGTACCAAGAATGAATAGGAGAAGTAATGACGAAATAAACAAACAACATCAATATCAATCAAACATTGCAAAGATTTTTACTTACATTTTATCATTTGTGGCAAAAATGTAAGAAGTGTATAAAACCCCCATCCCTCACAAGTCATACAAATAGCATTGGCTAATACTGCTGTTGAACTCAGAATACGTCTCCATGGAACTTCAATTTGTTTGTCGCTTTTAACGGCACTTATTGCATCGACTATATATTTGCGTTCGATTGGGTTTATTCTTTTGTCCTTAGAAGGGGTTGATGCTACAATTATTATCCAAATTAGATACCATAAAAGTCCAACGGCCCCTAAAAATTATATTAAATTAAATGGTGCAGTAGTACAAAAAAAAAGATAAGAGTAAATTTTATATCAATGCTGCTAATATACATTTTATAAAATACACTACATTTTTGAGGATTATTGTATAAAGGTTTTAGATTTTTTTAATTTTGAATCATTTATAGACAAATACTTATATTAACAAACCTAATTTACTCTACTGGGAGACAAAATACAAGATATACAAGAAGAAAAGCATATACAAGCAGAAAATACAAGAAATAAATCTTCTAGAGAGACAGAAGATCACGATAGATAAAATCAAATATGCTATCAAAAACTCTAAAGACAATAAGGCAGCTAGATTAGATAAAATACTAGTAGAACTGTTAAAACTAGTGGAAGAGGATAACTTGAAAGTATTGGCAGATTTATTGAAAGTATTCCTAAAAAACAAGCAGCAAAAGAGTACTCTGATTATATCGAACACTGAGCCTCATGAGTCATACTTTAAAAGTACTGCTGAAAGTAATACATAAGCGAAATAATTACTATTTAACTGGGAATAAGCCACAATTAGAGATAAAAATACGTTTATTGACGTTTCAATTTCCACTTCGCAAATCGTTCTTAAAATACAAACAGTAAATTGACAATTTAGTATCAGTAAATCACAATGTCCTTTGGTAGGATAGAACAGACTTGACAATCGACTGGAACATTTGTATCTTTTTCTTTGTGACATACTGGCCAGACCTCCAAACGGGGCTGAGTAGTAGTACTGTAAACTACTATACATAATTTCGTCAGATCCATAAAAGACCAAATCCCCAACAAAGACCATGGAGTCTATGGGATACTCTGATTCAGTTGCGCACGTACGTACATAGGACAGATAAACTGACGAATCTATAACCGTATTTACAAACATTCTAGATCAGTTAAACATTCCGCTACTACTTCAGCCCTAGCCCAACATCATACTCAGACAGGCTACAAAATATATTTCGAAAAGAAGTGAAGCCATCGAAATTAAGAGACAGCCTAACAGCTTAAACACGCGCGCTGGCGCTAAAAGACTGTCGGCAATATCGCGACCGCTGCTCCAGTGACTCACCGCTCCAAGCCATCCTACTCAGACCATTTCCATGCATACCGTTTCCATGCATACTGAAAGTATAAAAGCAGCTACAAATGTTAAGACCGGTCGTCACTCGACACTGAGAACTAGGCGGATTTGTATCTTTGAACTCAGTGCCATTTTCAGAACTACATTTAGCAGTGATAAATTAAGAAAAACTGTTCTGTAAGTTCTGTAAATGTAAGAAAAAAAAGTTTTTCAACAAATATTCTAATTGTTCTTTTTCTCAAATTTGTTGTATTAATGAACCCTTAGTTCATCTCACTAACAGAGAATCTAACAGAAGTGTGTTTATGAGTAAATTAAAACATATGGAGATCATATTTCCTGTCTTTTACTCTACATTACCGTTTAGTTTTTTCCAGTAATATCAATATAAAAACGTATTTCAAATAAAAAACATAAAACAAATTACCAAATATATAGAATATATACTCCCATCCAAGACTGGAAGCAATAAGGGAACACATAGGCATTGCCACCACAGCACCAAGGTAGCTACCAGATAAAGATATACTAATAAGACGGCTTTTTTCAGCTGGAGGTGCCCACTGAGACCAAATTTCTTGGATTGCAGGAAATGTTACACCCTTAAAAATAATAAGAAATTTTACACGCACTAAGTTATGACTATAATGAAAAAAAAACTGTCTAACATAGCGGACTTAAATCGAATAATAAGGTTATTTGAATTTTTTTCTTATATCTAAATATTGTTTTTTATTGGGTTGCATATTTTTTTGAAAGAAGAAAACCATCATGCAAATGCAAATCTCGTTGATTAAAACTCGAAATAGTTTTACGCTGCTGCATTCAAACTAATGCCAGAGGTAGTTAAGCCAGAATAGATTTTAACTTTCCAAATTTTATCTTCCTTGACCTTTGTGAAATTTAAATGTTGTGTAATAAGCGGTACTACTCGTTAAATATAGCATGAGGCAGAGATTTGATGTTGTTGGTACACTCTGTGCAACAAATCGATTCGTAAAAGAGTCAGGAAATGTGAATAAAAATTATTATGTAAGAAAAAAATTTTATTATTGAATAAGGAAAATACTTTCCAAAGTATATTAACGATAAAGGAATCAACTCTTTTAAAGCTCTGAAGGAATTAGGAAATGCCGAAAGGTCTTAAACCCAATGAAAGAAAAATTCAAATCTGCAACCTTCACGTGGTACAAGATGGGCAACATCTATCTATAGATGGCCAACGCAGCTAGGGGCCGAGTGATTGCCGGTATAAGCAATCTCTTACTTACTGACCAACGGCTACGGGCGGATGAACCAAAGAAGTGGTCAACGGTAGAAGTATTTAGAGGGCAACGAGAAACCACTACATTAAAGATCTTTAAATAGATATATCTTGTCAATTATCATGGCTATTGATCATGGACATCCGATACCAAGATCCGGCGGGGGAGGCAATTCTCAATTAGACCGCGAGGCCTCCCAGGCCGCCAACATGCTGAACCCTGCTGAAAATGAAGATATTCACCACTATAATGGCGCTTCCCGCATTTCAACCTCCATCTTTTCCTATCTCCCCAATCTCCCTCTTCTAAGCCTCTAGATTGCATTGTTTTTGTAATTTCTCTTCTCCAGGAATTTGGTGGTCTTCCCCTTTTCCTTCTTTCTGGCGGAATATACATTAAGGCTTTCTTTGGCCACCGCTCCTCCTCCATTCTCATCACGTGACCATACCATTGTAATTGCCTTCCTTGTATTCTATCTGAAAGAGTATCTCTAATTCCTGTACGGTTTCGTATTTCCTCATTCCTGATTCTTTCCATTCTCGATACTCGACATGACCTTCTAAGATAATCTTGTGGAAATCCACAACGTCTACTTTATCTCGTTCATTCTTTGTCATCGTCCAACATTCGGCACCATATGTGGTAATTGTATACAATGAATTCAGTATTCGGATGCATTTTTTCCCTTGGGTTATTCGGTTTTGTACATCTATCTTAACTCTGCCATCTGCTGATATGATGCTTCCTAGATATTTATACTGGTTGCAGCCTTTTATGACTGCGTTTTCAAGCCTCAGATCTGTGGTATTTCCTCCAATTTTTAAATATTCTGTTTTGCTTATGTTTACAGTAAGCCCCCATTTGGCATATTCCTCAAATAATTTTATTCCTCAAATAATCGATTCATATAATTTATATCTTCCTCATCGGTTGCAACCACCACCTGATCATCTGCAAACAACAATGTATACAGAGTTTCTTGTCCCACTTCGATGCCCATAAATCTACATTTCTTTCTCCAATTCCTCAATGCTTCTTGGACGTATATTTTAAAGAGTGTCGGTGACAAACAGCATCCTTGCTTTAGGCCTTTAGTGACTTTAAATTCATTTGAGGTTCTGGTTCCAATTTTTACACAACTAACTGCATTTTCGTACAATGTATATATCGCTCGGATATACGTCGAATCCAATCCGGACCTTTTGAGGACCTTAAACATTTTCTTTAACGGGACACTATCATATGCTTTCTCAAGGTCTATAAATACCAAATGGGTCTCTCTACTTCTTTCGACACGCTTTTCAATTATTTGTCGTAGGATAAATATATTATCAAGGCAGGATCTCCCGGTACGAAAGCCGCTTTGTTCTTCAATATCTTGTATCTGTCTTTCAACCCTCTTCTTTAATATTCTTCCGTACAACCGGCCCACAGAGCTCGTCACACTAATACCTCTATAATTGGAACAGTCTCTTTTATTCCCTCTCTTATATATGGAGCTTATATAAGATTTATTCCAATCTTTAGGAATTTCCTGGTCTCCACACATACATTTATTGAAAAGGTCTACTATTAATTCTAAAAGTGCAGTCGGCTCATATTTAACCAGCTCTATGGGAATGTCTCCAGGCCCTGCGGCTTTTCCGTTTTTAACCTCTTTTAAGGTTTCCGTCAATTCAGATAATGTTATTATAGGGATTTCCTGTCTTTCGTCTCTGTTGTCTATTAAATCTTTTCCCATCTGTACTCTACTCTATCCTCTTTCAGCAGTTTCGTATAATATTCTTCCCATTTATTTAACTTTATGAGAGAAATGTTGTCTTCATTTTTCTCATTTTTCCTAAACTGTTTTAATGTTTTCCAAGCTTGCGCCACTTTTGTTTCACCCATAAATCTGTCCAGTTCATCACACTTAGCCTCCCAGTTTATATTTTTCGCCTTATCCACGTCTTTTTTAACTTCTCTATTCCATTTAGCGTATATTTCTCTGTCTTGAGGATCTTTGGATTGAAGCCATATGTGATATGCTTGTTTTTTCTTGAGAACTTTCTATTCTAGTTCCATTGACAATCATTCAGGTTTTCCTTTTTTCCGATTTTCAACTTTTCCCAGTGCTTCATTTGCCGCTTCATGAATATATTTTTTAATTACCTCATACAGACTTTCGGGGTCTAAGTCCTTTGTTTCTATATTTTTTATTTTCTGAGCTATTCTAATTTTATATAAGAACTTTGTCGAATCTTGTTTAAAGCTTTCCAGGTTATATTTTATGTTTTCTATGGTTGTTCCTATGTCTGTTACTTCATCATTTTTGTGACTTGATTGTTTTCTCTTAAATGTCACCATTACTTTTGCAATAATCATATGGTGGTCACTTCCACATTCTGGCCCTCTAAACACCTTCACGTCCTTCGTTTTTAGTTTAGAATCTTTACGATGAATGAAATAGTCAATTATTGATTTTAAATTCCTGGTAGGCTGCGTCCATGTAAATTTATGTATATTCTTATCGGGGAAGAAACCATTTAATATTTTCAAAGAATGTGCCTCGCAAAAATCTATTAATCTTTGACCATTGTCGTTCAGAATGTCTTCTCCATATCTCCCTATTATTTCACTGTTGGAGCTCTTTCCGGTTCTTGCATTAAGATCACCTAAGATCCAAATTTCTTTCATCTTATTAATTGTGGCTAGAACAGTTGTTAACTTGTTAAAGTACCCTTTCTTGCTGTCAACCCTTGAGTAACCCTGTAATTTGTGTTGTTCCTATATCGGATAGAGTGTTAATGATCACGGCCCAAACAGCGCATAGAACTCTTATTATCATACAAGTGTACGCCCCCACTGCAGACAAAGATAAAAATGAAATAGAAGAGTTCTACAATGACATTAAAAAAGCACTAGACAGCACCAATAATAGAGATATAACAACACCAATAGGTGATTTTAATGCCAAATTCGGAAAAGGTAAATTTCAAGACATTATTGGTGAATTCGGACTAGGAATAAGGAACGAAAGAGGGGAAAGACTGACGGAATTCTGTCAGAAGTTTGAAATGATAGCGACAAATACATTCTTTCAGTTACCACCACGTAGATTATATACATGGAAATCACTTGCGCATAACAAAGAAAAAATTATCAGAAACCAGATAGATTATATCCTTAGCAATAAGCGATACCGTAACTCCATCAAATCGGCAAAGACATATCCAGGAACAGATGTATCATCAGATCACAATCCAGTAATCGTAAAATTTAAAATCCACTTAAAGAAAATAAAAAATCAACAAAAGACACAACAAATAAGCACTCTGCTAAAACACCCGAATATAAAAGGAGAATTAACGTTGAAAATTAACAAAGAGTTAAGCAAAACAATAATCGTTGATAATGAAGATTCCAACGAAAAATGGGAAAAATTTAAGAACACATTAATGATGCCAGCGATACGCTAAGTAGTCACAAAATTTATGAAGGTAAGACTCCATAGATAACAGATGAGATCCAGCAACTAATGGACAAAAGAAGATCATACAAAAACAAAAATGTAAACGAATACAAAGCCACACACAAGGAGATCAGGATAAAAATACGGGCAGCTAAAGAGAAGTGGTACAATGACAACTGTTTAGAGATAGAAGAACTCCAGAGAAGTCATGACAGTTTTGAATTGCACAAAATTGTATACGACGGTCCAACAATAGTAACACTCTGGTTAAACAAATGGTAAACTAATATCTAATATCAAAGGCAAACTAAACAGATGGAGAGAATATGTAAAAGAATTGTTTGAGGACGACAGGTCACAACAAGATAGCATGAACGATTGCGAAAAACATGATATAGGTCCAAATATAACTAAGGTTGAAATAATGCATGCAATAAATCTGGCAAAATCTAATAAAACTGCGGGGCCTGACACAATTCCAACTGAAATAATTAAATTATTATCATAAGATCAGATCAATATAATAGTAGACTTATATAATACTATATATAGGTACTATTACTACTATATACTCTACTACTCCTTATAGGAGACGGTGTACGTAAAGAAGAAGAAGAAGAACCAACTCTAGATTTAATTGTAAATAAGTCATTTCAAGTTCTACATTTGCAGAAAAATATTGATAATGATGACATTTATTATATGGGAAATAACAGGCAAGGAGATAAGTTAACTATTGTAACAAGATTGTAACACTATATGTCCCTTAATTTGGGTTAATAGTGGCTCTGGTTATAAAACACTTCTACTTAAGATTGCTTAAGATAAAGTGGCAAAAGTAATAATGGCTGTTTTCATACAATCGTCCCGTGGCCATACAGGTAAAAATGAAGATCGGTATTGTAGACAGACACCAGGAACCGCAATATTCAGATAGCCAATTTCAGTAATCAAAAACCAGGACGTTATGGCAAACAGGCAAACCCATTTGGCATCAGAGTCTATAATATAACTTCAGGAAAGGTGTCCGCCAAGGCTGCATACTATCTCCGATGCTGTTTAATTTATATGTTGAAAATATATTTGCGGAAGCATTAGAAGACACGAAATTAGGCATTAAGGTGAACGGAATACCAATTAGCAACCTACGCTATGCGGACGACACAGTGATTATAGCTGATAATGTGGAAGATCAGCAGTTATTACTTGATAGGGTGAATAGCATAGGTAAAAAATACGGCATCAAAATCAACATTTTGAAAACGAAATATATGGTCATTAGCAGAAACTCTCCAGAAAACCCGATAATATGCATAGGTGACAATCGTATAAATCGCGTGAAAACTTTTAAATACCTTGGCACCAAAATCAATGACCAATCGGATCCACAACACGAGATAAAAACTCGAATACAAATGGCAAGACAAGCTTTTGTGAAATTCAGACCGCTCCTATGTAATCAACACCTAAACTTCGAAATACGCTACAGAATGGCAAGTCAATTGTGGATTTCAAAATGATATAATCCACGTGGTTAAAACATTACACATTCTGTAAAAGAGGTTTTATAAGTTGTTTCAGAGCAATAATTTGTAAGATAAATTTCAACACTGTCATTATTTGTTTATTCAGAATTATTCACTAAAGTTTTTTGTACCTACTTACTTACACATTATGTACATAGTATACAAATAATATCATTTAAATGAACCAAAAACCGTCGATTTAGACCTCTGTAACTCAGAAACGATTGATTTCTGAGTCTTGGGACAATGAAAACTTTTAATTATCATGACCAAAGCTCCCTATCTGCAAAGTTTCAGCCAATTTAACTGAAACATATTTTCTGATGACTTAACAGGGTCACACAAGAGGCTTGATTAATGTGTATTCACATTGTGTTTACATCTGATATCGAAATGAATCAAACGATGTTTGGCTAATATGGTGTATTATCTAACTTCTATATATATATATATATATATATATATATATATATATATATATATATATATATATATATGCCGGTTTAGAACGTCCTTCTCCGTTGTCCGACACCTAACTTCCATCCTCTTCTATCGTGGCAATCTTCCGTTGATAGATTCCGTTCGCTCATTGACTGTTTTATGTTTTGCTGCCACTCTAGTTTGGGTCTTCCTCGCTTTCTGTTCTTTATTGGGGTCCAGTTCAGTATTTTTTTGGGCGATCTAGTATTTTGCATTCGCTATACGTGTCCGTACCATGTAAGTTGTTCCTTTTCGATATCCTGAATTATCGTACCTTCTATTCCCATTCGTTGTTTTATATGGTCATTCCTCGTTCTTTCTCTTCGTGAGACTCGCATAGATCTTCTTATCGCGTCTATTTCGACTGCCTCTACCTTCTTTTTTTGTCTGTCTGGAATTCTCCATGTTTTCGCTCCATACAATAGGCTGCTCTTAACCATTGTCTCGTATACATTAAATTTTCTCCCTTTTGTTATCTCCTTGCTCCACAAAATGCCATTCAGACATCCTATTATCTTTTTAGCTGTAACTATTCGTTTTTCTATCTCTTTCACATCTGTTCCGGTATTGTCGAATGTGATACCTAAATATTCATATTCTTGACATTGCAGAATTTCTTGACCGTTGTCCAACTCCAAATTTTCGCTCTGAAAGCCTACACATAGATATTTCGTTTTATTTACGTTAACTGTCAAGCACCATTTCTCATACTCTTCTATCAGTTTTCTAACCATATATTGCATGTCGTCTTTGTCATTGGCCACTATGACCTGATTATCTGCAAACTGAACAGTAAACAGGTATCTGTCATCTATGTCTATACCCATTCCGTGTATTTTCCTTTTCCAGTTCTTAAGTGCCGCTGCTACATATATTTTGAATAATGTAGGAGAGATAGGACATCCCTGACGTAGTCCCTTATTCACTATAAAGGCATCTGAGTTTTTTCTGTCTTAATTCTTGATTGCGAATTTTCATACAGTTCTTTAAGTGCAGCTATATAGTTGTGATTGATGTTCGTTTGCTCTAATACCTTCCACAGTCTCGATACTGGGACTGTATCATATGCTTTTTGTAGGCCCACAAATGTAAGATGGGTTTCCAGATGCCTAGCAGATATCTTTTCTATGACTTGTTTTAGACAAAATACGTTATCGGTAACGGTAACGTAATATACCTGCTCTAAAGCCGCTTTGATCTTCTTCTTCTTTCTCTTTATAGTCTTCTTCAATTAGATCTCTCAGTATTCTACTGTATAGTCTGCTCAGTGTACTCGTGATTGATATGACTCGATAGTTGTTACAGTCCAGTTTATTTCCTTTTTTATTGATGGATGATATATAAGCTGTTTTCCAGTCCTCTGGAACAGGATGTCCATTTAGGCATTTATTGATAATTATTGTTAGATTTCTAAAGAGTTTTTCCGTTCCCCATCTTAACATTTCGGAGAAAATCCCTTCTGGTCCTCTAGCTTTCCCTAATGTAAGGTTCAAAACTGTCTTTTTTACTGTTTCTTCGATCGAGAAGAATCGAATAATCGAGAAGAAGTGGATACCTCCACTTCTTCTCGATTTACTACAAAATGTTTTGGAGATTCTATCATGTATTTCTGTCTAGTTTCTTGTAGTAGACCTTTGTAGTGTTGTATCCACTGCTCCGGTTTGATTATCTGGATATTTGCTCTGTCTTTTGCTGGGTTTTTAACATTTGATATAAATTTCCATACCTCCGAGCATCTCCTTCTTCCGATATAATTGTTAACTTCTTCACATTTCTTATCCCACGGCTCGTTCTTAGTTAAATTAATGCTCGCTCTTAATTGTCTTTTTGTTTGTTTATAATCTTCCAGATCTTGTTCATTTTTTGTTGCCAACCATTTTAAATATTTTTGTTTCTTTTCCTCAACTAGTAACTCTATCTCCTCGTTCCACCAGTATTTTTTGTTGATCTCCTTTGCCTTTATTCCTACTGCTTCTCTAGTGTCATTTCTTAGACTTTCGATAACGTTCTCATAGATTTCATAAAAGGTGCATTCTTCCGCATTTGATAGTTTGCTGTCAAGGCGCCTCTGATAAAGAAATACCGTGCTTTCATCGTTAAAACTTTAAAAATTATACTTTGTTGTACACATTTCGTCGGTGAGTACGGAATCGTTGTTATGTTCATCTTTGGCCTGATTTGTTCTTCTAAATTTTATTCTTACTTTGGCTCTTTGGCTGTGACTAAAAAATGATCTGATCCGCAAGCAATGATGGATTTTAGGTTGCGGGTATTCTGTGTCCATGTGTAGCGGTGAATATCTTTGTGTTTAAAGAATCCATTGTTTATTCTGAGATTGTGGGTTTTGCACATATGTATCAGCCTTTGGCCATTATCGTTGGTTACTTCTTCCCCAAATGGGCCTACAACTGGGCTATTGTTCATCTTTCCCGTTCTTCCATTGAAGTCCCCCATCATTATAATTTCTCAATTTTTTCCAATATTTCCTACGATTTCGTCAAGTTTGTCAAAGAACTCCTGTTTAATGTCTATTCTTTCGTCGTCTGATGGAGCATATGCCGTGATAATGGCGATGTAATGGCTGTGTAGTTTTAAGTTTACCGTTAAGATATTTTTATCTACAGTTTCCCAATTTGTAATTTTGCTTTTCCAGTTTTTCTTTATTAATATGGATACCCCTCTAGCTGCCCTTCTTTCCTTTGGAACTTCAGTAAAAATTTGAATATATTCTCCGATAACTTCAGTACCATGTCCTTTTTTCTTGGTCTCTGTTAGTGCTACTACATCGATGTTTAGTTTCTGGATTTCTGATGCAATGATATCCGTTTTCAGTCTAATACCCTGTACATTCTTCCACGTAGCGAAACTCATATTCCATTTTCTTTGCCGTGTTCGTCGTCTATTTGATCCGTCAAATGTTCCGAGGCTTCTGTTAGGTTGTTTGGTAAGTTTAGATTTTTCTAAATAGATAGAGTATTAGAAAACCAGTCTAATGCCTCAACCCCCATCCTGGAGGGACAGGACAGTTTTGGTTTCACAGTGAGTATTTTATTTCCTCACTACCCTCTGAATCTACTGGCTTGTAGACCCAGCGAGCTTCCTCTAATTCCCATAGGGACGCACTCGATGGAGGTAACTGTCAAATCCCCTCACGGGTTATCTAACTTCTATTTTAACCATTAAATGTAATTCCCTGTATATTAAAAAAACCGTGTGGGATACTCGACAATCTGCTCTAATTATAAACATTGCAAATCGAAATTGAGTTTCAGAAAAAAAAAATTGTAATTTTACCTCACATAAACCCTCTATTGTTCGTATAACTATAAAGAAATATACATTTGTTTTAACTACCCATGGCGTAATAAGGGTGAAAAAAGCAGTAGATGCTATACCACAGCTAAACACCCAGGTTCCTCCTATTTTAGTTGCTAGAAATCCTCCGGCAATTTGAGTGAACAAATAACCATAAAAGAACGAACTTAAAACATAACCTTGGATCTTGGAGTCCCAATCGAAGTCCTTTTTCTAAAATAATAAAAAAGATTTAAATAAAAAAATATAAAAATATGTAACAACTACGAGCTTGTAGATATATTAAAAAGCAAAAATATTGACAGTCGTGATTTGAAAATTATATCTCATTTAAATTGGAATCAAACTGCCAAGGTAAGAGTTGACAGCCAGTACACCGAAAATATCAAAATACAAAGAGGAGTCCGCCAGGGTTGCGTGCTGTCCCCACTACTTTTCAATGTCTACAGTGAAGCGGTATTTCAAGAAGCGCTCTCAGACTCAATAGAAGGTATATCTATCAATGGAGAAGTTTTGAATAACTTACGTTTTGCAGACGATACAGTAATAATTACGGATAACAACAATGATTTACCAAACTTAATGCAACGCCTTAATGAACGCTGTCATGAGTACGGACTGAAGATAAATTTAAAGAAAACTAAATGCATGATCATGACTAAATCTGCACATGCAAATATTCAATTGACTATTGAAGATACTGCAATTGAGAGTGTTAATAACTATAAATACTTAGGAACATGGATAACATCAGATGTAGTCCAAAACAAAGAAATTAAGACACGTATTGAAATAGCACGTACATCATTTATTAAACTTAAAATGTTTCTTTGTTGTCGGGATATAAGGTTAGAACTACGCCTGAGAATGGTTCGATGTTACGTGTTCTCTACTCTTCTTTACGATTTGGAAGCTTGGACACTAAAACAAGTTCATCTGAATAAGTTGGCCGCCTTTGAATTTTGGTGTTACAGAAGAATCCTACGAATATCATTGATTCAAAGAATGTCAAACATGGAAGTAACTAGAAGGATAGGAATTGAGGCGGAAATAATATTAACTATTAAAAGACGAAAACTTGAGTACTTGGGACATGTGATGAGAGGGCAAAAATACGCATTATTACAACTTATTATGCAGGGTAAAATCTGAGGAGAGCCAAATGTGGGAAGACGAAGAATATCCTGGCTTAAGAACTTAAGGGAATGGTTTGAATGTAGTAGTGCAGAACTTTTTAGAGCGGCAGTCAACAGAGTCCGCATAGCCATGATGATTTCCAACCTTCGGTAGAAGATGGAACTTAAAGAAGAAGAAACAACTACGAGCTAAGAAATTTTATGAACTGCTTAAAAGAACATTAGCTAATGTAGTTAAGGTAAAATATTTTGGGTTTCTACTTAGTTATGTGCAGACTTCCAGGGCGTTAAACCTTTGCTGACATCTTAAAGGCAAGCTGTGGTTATCAATAAACTTACAAATGAATCATAATATGAAGTTGTCTTCCACATGAATTTTCCAAAAGTGCTTAAGTCACGTGACTTAGGTCATTTTGAAAAAAAAAACATAAGTTTAACTTCTTAAAAGCCATGATTTTGTGTTCAAATCTTACTTTCAATTATCTTGAAACAAGAATTTGAACCTGCAAATTACATGACTGATGCTATTCCAAAGTAACATTAAATTATATTCTTAAACATAGAAAAAATTCGTTCCTGAAACATTTACTTTTTTGACTTAAGACCTTTTGGAATCCACCACTTCAATTGCATTTAACAGTTTTTATTCTAACTCCCTAATGCAGCGGAATGGGGACATTATTAAAGCAAAACTTTTATCCTGGCGTTATATTTTACTCTTCTTTCTCTATAATGAAATGCTGAGGCGAGCGTCACGGAACTAGCGCCACAAAATTCAGTCGTCACGAGCAGCGTCATAGAATAGCGGGTCTTCACATAGATTCACTACTTTCGATAAATTCGTTTCTAGCCATCATATATTTATCTCAATATCATGAACTCACAGCCTGCTTAATTATACTCTTTTATTAAACTACAAAAATCTGATCACCAGATAAGACCTGAAGTTTCTTTTTATACAGATTCGTCATATAAACTTAAAAAAAACTGTTAAATATTATTTTAGAACACACTAAATTGTCACCCAAATTTACCATAACAACATACGATAGAACTAGTTAATAAAATACGACATTTTCAATTACTTAACAATTTCAGATTAATTTTATTTGACGTAAAAACTATTTTCCTAGTAATCCTCCACAGAGATTTGTTCTAAAAACAACCTTTTAGACCAATATTACAAATCCAATCATTACATCTGAAATTTTCCATCTTGAAATTTACATAAACCAGAACTACTTTAAAGTTAATTATAAAAAATATACTGATAACAGTGAAAGACTTATAATGAGTAATCCTCTAAGCCTATTGATATGATATATCTTTTTGGATCATCTAGAAACAAAGATTTCAAAACATCCTGTATTCAAATAGTTTTCATATTAGTGGAGATAACGATATACTGGTATACTTAACATTAACTAACAGACAACTTGACCAATTCTTATATTATATTAACTCACTCTATAGTCATACTATAATAGAAACAGAACAGTATCAATCCATACATATTCTAGATTTAAATTTTATCAGACTTAAAAACAAACATGAGTTCTTCATATGAATCTAGCCATATTGACAAGACTATACACAATTTATCATCCTATCCTACGCAACATAAATTGGCAGCCTACCTTAGCCTGTTACATATATTAATATAAACTCCCATGTCAAAAAAAACAACAATAGGTACAACGAACAATCAATAAACAAAATTGTGTAAAACTAAACTAAAATTAGAATTTATATCACCAAAGCTAACTTCTACTCTCTACATATATAGGCAAGATATCAAAAAAAAAATAGTCAAACATATAAAAAAGAAAGAAGTAACACCAGCTTTTGGAACAAACGACAATTTAAGCAAATATATTAATAACAACAAGAGCCAAAAGGAAGATCACTTACACAGTAATGTATACAAACTTAAATGTGGCGGCTGCTCAGATATTTACATCGGCCAAACTGGTAGAAATTTTAATAAACGAATAGCAGAACATAAAAGGGTTTTCATAAATAGAATAACAGATTCTACATACGCACTTCACCCTCTAAGCAATACGTCATTCTTTTAATCATCAATTTCAAATCCTTCATATTCACAATAAAAGCCTTAAGCAATGTTTATAAGAATCTATGAAAATTACCAATTTAAAAAATACAGTAGATAATACTGAATGAACAAATTGAGACAAACAGTTCTCCAATCCTCAACTTTTTCAATTGAAGACTATTAAGTGTAAACGCATACCAAAAATAGATCACTTGAGAAAGACACTCCGCTGAAACAGCTGCAGTAATAATAAATTTTGTGTAACTGTTAAAAAGTTTTTTTTAAAAAGTTAAAAAACTGAAGCTTGTTCCCAAACCAAATGTTAGAAGATGGGTACCACCTGAAAATGCAAAACTGTTTGAACGTACGGTCGAGGAAAAATTACAAAACGAAGAAACAGAAAACATAAACATCGAACAACTAAACCAGAAAATAGTCAAAGCTCTGAAACAAGCACAAGAAAAATGTTGTCCAAAAAACCAAAACGACGAAGAAAAACTAAGTCTAAGCACGAAAACTCTATTAGAGGAAAGAAGACAACTAACAGATAAATACAGAACCAATCTAACAAAAATGAGACAACTAAACAAACAAATCACTAAGAACATCAGAAAAGATATAAGAGACTACAACACCAGAGAGATATCAAAAGTCATAGAAGAGAACAAAAGTTTAAAAGTCTTCAGAAGGAAACAGCAAATAGGAAAGAAAAATATTTACAAACTGAAAAACACAAAGGGCGAAATAATAACAGATAAACAGGAAATTCTACAAACTGTCGGACAATTTTACAGCGAACTCTACAGCAAAACAGAAGAAAATGTTCCAACTGACAACATACCAAAGGTTCTAAACCAGGGCTCGGAAGACATACCAGATGTTACTGTTGATGAAATCAAAAAAGCTCTCCTACAAATGAAAAATAATAAGCCACCTGGCGACGACGGGGTCGTTACCGAAGCCATAAAATTAGGAGGCGAGAAACTGATACAAATGCTTTCCATACTTTTTCACAGAATGCCTTGAAAGAGGAACAACACCATCACAATGGCAAAATGCAGTGATTATTCTAATGTTTAAGAAAGGAGATTTAACGAAATCTCGTAAACTATAGACCAATCAGCCTCATCTCACACATATACAAGCTTTTTACAAAAGTCATAACAAACAGACTTTCGAACAAAATGGACTTTTACCAATCATGCGAACAGGCAGGATTCAGGTCAGGCTTCGGCACAAACGACCATCTACAAGTTATTAAAAGCCTCATCGAAAAATGTATAGAGTACAATAAACCCCTCGTCCTAATATTTGTGGATTATGAGAAAGCATTCGACACAGTAACCCATCAGAAAATGCTAGAAGCTTTAAAAGAGTGCCGAATAGATCACCGCTACACCACTGTCATCAAAAATATCTATGATAATGCCACGGCATGCGTCAGACTCCATGAAGATACACACAAGTTCAACATCCATCGTGGAGTTCGCCAGGGCGACACCATTTCACCAAAACTGTTTACAACATTATTGGAATACATGTGTAAGCGTGCAAACCTAGACGAAAAGGGCATAAACATAAATGGAGAGCATCTTAGTCACCTCAGGTTCGCGGACGATATAGTCCTAATAACAGACCGCATAGATCATGCCATCGAAATGTGCGAAAGACTCCACCATGCCTCTACACAAGTGGGTTTAAAGATCAATAACTCAAAAACACAAGTGATGACAAATCTTGTTCTGAGTGAGAACATCAACATAGCTCAAACAAGTATAGAACAAACATCAGCATACAAATATCTGGGACACGAAATTCGCTTAAGTAGAGATAACCAGACCAATGAACTAATACGTAGAATAGGATTGACATGGGCAGCCTATGGAAAGCTAAGAGATGTTTTCCAATCAGCTCTTCCCATCTGCTTGAAGAGAAAAGTCTTCGATCAATGTGTGCTGCCGGTTCTAACCTATGGTGCGCAGACGCTAACACTTACTAAGACGTCCGCAAACAAAATTCGAACAACACAGAGGGCAATGGAACGGTCCATGTTGGGATTAACCCTGAGAGACCGAATACCCAACACAGAATTGCGCCGTAGATCGGGAGTAACCGACGCAATCAAAAGAATATCAACCTTAAAATGGAACTGAGCAGGGCACGTCGCGAGAACGAAGGACGGCAGATGGACAAAACGCATTCTTGAGTGGAGACCCAGACAAGATGCCTTTAGATATAGATATAATAGAGGACGACCACCAACAAGATGGACGGATGACCTGAACGGACACATCAAAATTGGATGCAGGCGGCTCAGGACAGAAATTTGTGGGGTGAACTACGGGAGGCCTATGTTCAGCAGTGGACGAGTATGGGCTGAATGATGATGATGATGATGATGATGAACTGTTAAAAACAAAAGTTCTCAGTGTTTTATTGTTAGAAAAACTAAATATCTATTTTCAAAGGAACAAAGTTATGTTATCCAATCAAATGTACCATTCCTTAAAAACGAGCCCCAGAAATAACTTAAACAAAACAAACTCATTTTATGTATTATACTTTAAAATGTATAGATAACATATATATGTATAATATTAACGCTATTATAGAGAGACAAAATACATCATATATTGTACTTACTAAAACTGTAGTACCGTTATCTAGAGTAATATTTTTTAATTGTGTCATGTCCACTATGGCTATACTTAGATTTATTCTTAGAGAATATATATTCATAAAGCCCAAAAATGCCATTATAGCCACCACGTATCTTTTGTGACGCCATATTTTCCATGAGGGTCCTATGTTCCTAAAAAATATTGAGTATTATAATGTAATAATAAAATATGATGCGAATGAACCTGCACTAGATGAAAGCATCCCTGTGTCACACATGATAACAAGAAACGACCATAAAACCTCCATCAAAAAACATACATATTACCAACTTATGGCAGTGTAACTGGAATTCCACATCCAACAAATTAAAAGATGTTATAGAAACTGTCGGCACCACCTTACCACTCCCACTCAAACGTTGTGAACAAGTGATAATAACTCGACTACGATTAGGACATACTATACCAACCCATATTCACTTAATAAATAAAGAAGCCATCCCTTTCTGCCACAACTGCAAGATCCAAATCACTGTGAAACATATTCTGTTAGAATGCAAAACATACACCCAAGAAAGAAGAAAAAATAACCTCTCTACCAACCTGAAGGATCTATTAAGCTGCCAGTTCAACAAAGTGCTTAAATATTTGAAAGACATTAAAATTTACAGTGTTTAATAGAACATATTTAAGTTATACATAATTATATACCTTGTAAGAAATTAAATACTTGTAATTTTGTGTTTGTACCCCCTGCTAATAACTCTTAGTAGTTGATGCAGGGTCATTTTTGTTTATATAAAAATAAAAAAAAATAAAATATGAATACTTTAGTTAACTTAGTAGAAAAATTTAAACCATAAACTAATGATCATACCGTTCTTGTAGAGACCAAGCCTCCTGAATCAAGCTCTTTTAATTGTTTTAGTTCTAAACTATGAGTTGTCATCCTTTAAGTCAAGCTTTCCAAGATCGTTTTTTTACATTAAATAGATGTTAGATTATAATAGTCTGAAACTGTGTTTAAGGATACTTTACTTAATTATAAAAAATAAAAGTTTGCTCAAGAATCTACTACGCTAGGAATAAATCCATATGAGAAATTTTCAATATTTACATTTAAAAAACAATTTTGCTGCAAATGGAGAGATACCTGAAATCAGGTAATCGACTAACAAAAAATGAATAAATGACGTAAGAAATTTTGGATCTTATGAAACAATAAACAAACTATAAATGTAAGAACACATAAGATCATAAAAAAGAAAATTAAACAAGCCAAATATGAAATGTAGTTTTTTTCTAAATTTTATGAGAAATTTTGTCTCTAAATACTACAAAATTCGTAGTATTTTGAGGCTGTCGGTCGTCCGAGAGCATCATTCCTCAGAGCTCAGAGCTCCAATGACGTCAAATGAGGTCATTGGAGCATCGATGGTCTTGTGCAAAAAGCGAGAGTAGGTGTACGCGAGGAGGATGGATATAAATATAGATTAGGAAGAGAGAGATCTGAGGCCGTGGTAAAAGTTCAGGAAACTTGCCTACTTCCTACCAAAACATGGTAGTTTTGGCATCTGTACAAATAGGATAGGCAAATCTACATAGATGGACTATATTGTTTGTGGGATACCGGACGCTCCCGCCCACCTTTTTAACTGCCAGAAGTGCGCAAATGAGATTGTAGACCTCGACAGGAGAATGGGTTTCAGGTTGGATGAAAGAAACATGGTAGAGAGAAAATGGAGGGAAGTAGCTGTCTGATCTCTGGGGTAATAAAGAATAAGGAGCAAGAAGACAGTGGAGGAAATTGAACTAGAGATCTGAAATCTTGTTTTTTTTTTAAGCGACGAACTGGTTAGTACCGAAATTATTTTATGGCCTTACGAAAATATTTTCGTTCTTTTGTTTTCTTTTAGTAATGGGCAATTGTTCAACATTTTTTTTCTGACATATGGTGATATATAAGGTATAAGTTGTAAGTTTTCTTTAATATAATATAGTTATTCTTTTTTTATTCTTTTTTACACGGAAGACCAAGAGGCAATAAAAATAAAAACAGAAAAAATAGAACAGGTAAAAGAGTATATCTATCTAGGACAAGCAATCAGAGCTAACAGAGAAAATCAAACAGCCGAAATATCGAGACGAGTAAGAATGGGATGGGCAGCGTTCAGCAAACTTTCTTACGTTTTAAAAAATCAAACAATCCCTCTATACTTACGATGCAAGGTATATAACTCCTGCATAATACCGGTGCTCACCTACGGAGCACAGACATGGACATTTACACAGGCCAATTTGGATAGGATAAGGAAGGCACAAAGAGCGATGGAAAGACAAATGTTGGGTGTATCACTTAGAGATAGAAAACGTAACCAGTGGATCAGAACCAGAACAAAGACAGTAGACGCGATAGAACAAGCAGCAAAACTGAAATGGAAATGGGCTGGACACAATGAACGTCTCCAAGACGGACGATGGAACAATGCCATCGGAAAGTGGCGTCCATACTATGCAAAGAGATCAAGAGGCAGACCACAGATGAAGTGGAAAGATGACATCAGGAAACAAGGAGGTCCCACATGGCAGAGAACAGCTCAAGATAGGGAAAGATGGAGAGAACTGGGGGAGACCTATATCCAACAATGAAGGATAGAGAATAGGTTCAAAAAAAAAATTCTTTTTTTAGTTTTCCAGTTTTTTATTAAGTGGTAAGACCACTACTCTATAACGGTGGTTAAGGTATTAGCCGGAACACGGTTAATTCAGCACTATCCTGAAGTCTTCTGACCTAGTGTCTTACTCGGTTGGAAGATGCTAAAATGGTGTCTTGTTCCATGACGTTAGATGCTAAAAAAGGATTTCTTCCACCGCTGCCTGTCATAATTTAATGTATACCAGTGCGGCTCTTGGCTTGAGAGACAAGGTAGACTAGGTATTTTTTGTCTCCTCATATAGGTATTCCGTCTAATAAAGACTTCAGTCATCATAGGAGATTTTTTGTTTTCTTGTTTTTTGTTTTTTTTTTTCTAGTATCCTATAAATTTAGAACCTAAACATGTTTATAAATTAACTCTAGTCTACGTCGTTTAGAAGTAGCAAAATGAGTAATAACGTCATCGTAAAATTTTTTAGAGTTTTGGAGAGATCTTAAAAGTTTTTTTTTTTTTCTATTGACATTTGAGACAAGTTTGACATTCTCTCTTGTTTCATGGTATTTCGACAATACGTTTTGATTATTTTGAGGTAAGAAAAATCTCGTTCATTTGAGGCAGACGTTTTTGGTAATAAGAGAATTAATGGCAATAATTTATTAATTTCGGTAACAGTTTGTTGTAATGAATTGCAGTATATAAAATTATACATATCTTGTATCTTATCCCATCTTCCGAAAATATTTGGATCAGCATATAAAACTTTTAATTCATTTTCTAATTTTATTTTATTAAAGAATGATGGATAATTTTTAATTAACCTGTCTAATAAATATCTTGGAAATTCTTTGGCGTAACTTTTAAATTGTGAATCGTCAAAGAGGTCAAAAATTTGTAAATCTTCAAAATTCGAAAAACGAGTATCTATTTGCATAATAATAGTATCCAAAATTTCGAGACATACTCGTTTTTCGAGATCTGTTTCTGTGTCATGCCTTTGTCTTTTTTTTTGGGTTCGGAAATATCAAGCGAGTCCAAAACGTCACTGCGTATATACTGGAAATTACTACCATTACAAAAATCTCTGAGATTTTGCACCAGTCTTGTTATTCTATTTTTGGAATGAATAATGTCAGTTAACTGATTTTGAACAACATTGAATATCAAATCGGTTTGGGTAAACATTTTCTATAAAATATTTAAAAGTATGTTAAAAGAGTAATCATTTAATAAAGTTTTCAAACCGATTGATTCACGGATCGAGATATCATCACTTTCAAAATCGACACATTCAATAATAAAATCAAAAACTTCCAGTGAAAACTAACCGAGATTTAAAATTCCATCGCGTGTGAAAAACTGTTGGCATTTTTTTCGAAACAAACCGTTCTAAAACATTATTCCGTTTAGGCGAGCTTGAAAAAAATAAAGCAAATCCGCTTAAACTGACAAAAAAAACGACATTCTTTAATTTTTTACATGTATCCTGCAAAACTAAATTCATTCTATGCACATGACAGTAAGTAAATAAAGCTTGCGGTGCAATAGTTTTAACTTTTGCCTGGGGACCATTTAATTCACCAGACATCACGGCAGCGCCGTCATAAGTTTGCCCTACCAATTTATTTTTGATATCAAAAAATTTTAATCTGTCCTTTAAAACACCAAAAATATATTCTGCCTTATGGCTTTTACTCACGTCTGTAAAACCTAAAAACCTCTCATAGATATTACCACGTAACGCGTATCGAACAACAATTGATAATTGTGAATGACATAATATGTCGGTAGTTTCATCTACTTCTAGTGAAAAGCAAATGGTTTCCTGAATCTCAGATTCAATAACGTTACTCAAAATGTAACTAATTGATTCTATTAATTAATTCTGGATTGTTGTAGATACACCGCTAAATGTCTTCGAATTAACGAATTAATTAAAAAAAAATTCTAATATGTCAAAAAACCCTTTACCCTTTAATTATTTACGGCAGACGTAACGTATCACCGTGTTACTTTAGAAAATAAAAATAAATCACAAAAAGAAAGGCTAATTCGTGAACTGAATATCACTTCACTTTACTAGTTACATTCTTATATGAAATAACATTTCATCCCGCGCTCGTAATGTACAATTCGCGACCAATCACCAATCCAAATGAAACATCGGCAAATTAAAATTTGCCATACTTGGTAATTAAGTTCATATGGAAAGAAATGTATATTTGGTTGCTAATCAACTAATATTCCGTTGATTTTTACAAGTAAATCGGTTAAGGTTGGGATTGACTTGCTGAAAAAACAAAACGTGCCTTTTTAAGAATTCACAGGCAGATGGATGTCTCCGATATCGGATCATCAATTTGAAAAGTGTCTACGCAGGCCACTTAACGCTCAGATTGGACGAATTCTTTTAAAAACCATGAATAAAATTTAGTCTTCATTATCTTACAGATATTTTTTTATTTCACAAAAACAAACGACATCAATTGATTACCTGCCACAATTATTTATTAAAATACTGTATAAATTAAATATTA